AAACTTGCTGAGGGTGCACTTCATGAGGTTTCTCTTCCTCCTCTCCAGGTTCCTCTGGCATCTCCACCACTCCCAGCCCCACGCCACCAGCAATTTCCCAGTACATCTACCCCAACCCATTGGTGACTTTGTCCCCAGCTGCCCTGAGGCCAGGGTGTTGTGCTGTGCTGGGTACAGAGGGCTGGGAGACCAGTTACGCCCTGGGAATGGTTGTACTGGATTGGACCAAAGCTCCAGCTGGCTCGGCATCCTGTCTTTCCCATGGGAAGTATTGGAAGCCTGGAGAATGGAGGGATGCCTCTACCCCCTCCAGCTGCATCCCAGGGGCAGGAGGGAAGGATAACGCAGGGACCAAATACTAGGGAAGCTCCCAGTCCCCTGATGCTCCCGCATCCGCATGGATGCACCCTTGGGCAGAGCGAAAGCAGCTGCTCGGATGAGCCCAGCGGCTGCCAAGGCAGATCCGCGCTTTCCAGGCTCAGCGTTATTAGATTAGGTGGCAGCTCTCACCTGCCTTTGGAGGGAGAAGGTTTTATCCACTTAAAAGCAGGAGAGCAGCCTGGAGCTGTGCTGGTGGCCTCAGCCATGGAGACGACACGTCCTCGTCCATCCTGGCCACCAGCGATTCCCAAATCCCCTTGGAGGTTTGGAGCCAGATGCTCACATACAGTCCGAGGTACTCCCAGCTCACCTCTTTGTGGGGTTCCTGTCTGTGCCTCAGTTTCCCCATGCAGCCCGAGACAGGGGGGCTCAGCCCTGTCCGCCGGGGTCACGCAGCAGATAGCAACTGCTCGCAGCGGTTGGAAGCTTTTTGGCTGTTCCACGGATCGGAGGTTGGTCTCCAGCCTGTGTCAGGGAGCGAAGGCTGCAGGGATGCTGCTATGGGCAGGAGCACGAGGGATACGGCTCTGCTGGGGTTTGGGGAGATCCCACGGGAAAAGCTGCTGCAGGGCCCTTTCCAGCCTTTCATCAGTGGGTGAGAGAGGCAGCCTGAGGTCCTTTACGTGCTGAGCCCACCAAAGGATGCTGCAGCCCTGGCAGAGCCCAAAGCTGAGCCTCTCCTTTCCCCCTCTCCATGAGAAAGGCAAACAGAGGCTTATCCTGAGGAAATTCTCACAATTCCCGATCCCTACAGAGCAAAGGTGACAGGGCATGGACCCACAGCACAGGGAGGTCCCAGCGGACTGGGACCCTGTGCTTCCAGCCCCTCATCCTCACCCAGCACCCGAGGGAAGGAGCCGAGGCAGTGCCGAGGTTTGAACCAGCCTTTATTTCTCTCTCTAAGGAAAGTAACTCAGTGGTACAAATATACTTTGGTATGAGAACCAGAGAAACCTTTGCTTGGGGGGGGGGAGTGTGGGTCCCTGCGGGTGTCCTAGGATGAGAAAGATGCAGAGAGCGAAAAGAAACTCCCCGGAGATGTCATCAAGTTTCCCCCAAGACTCATTTCTGATAGATATTTATAGAATTCTATAGATACGATGATAGTGTCATTTATAATAAATATCCTCTCTGGTATCTAACAGTATGTACAGGTTGTCAAGTATTAGAAATACGTTGGTTTTCTTCTGTTAAAAGGTGAGAAAAGGTGTCCCCAAAGTCCCCCCTGGCACCCCCGGGGCCCGAAGAGGGGCCAGTGCATGTCCCAGTGTCCCCACTGGCAGGGGGACAGCCAGTGCTTTGGGTGCCGTCAGGGGGGAGCAGGGCTGCTCCCCGTGGGGCTGGGGGCTGCCCCATGCATGGATGGGGGTAAAGAAAGAAGTTTTCGCCCCTCTCTTTGGGGTGGCCGTGCCAGGGGTGATCCCTGGGATGTCTCGGGTTTCAGATGGGGGGAGACCCTTGGGTACCCCCTGCTCTGGGCTTGGGGTGTCGGGGTGAGACAGCGTGCAGGTCGAACGGGAACCAGTGCGACCTGGGGGTGTGAAGGAGAAGAAGGGGGGAAAAAAGTCTTATAATGCCCCAGGTTGTCCCCCAAAAAAGCTCCCCAAGGGTAACGGCTCCAGCCTGAGAGCTGGAGGGGGAGGATGGAGACGGGGGTCCTGCTGTTGCCTGCTGCCTCCCGGGGATGTCTCCGGGCTCCCCACTGCTTCACCACCCGGAAAATCCCAGGTTTGCCCATCTAAAAAAGGTGAAAATAACCCCACAAAGCTCTTGCAGGGCTGCCCACCTCAGGCGTTTTCGGCAGCCTACGTGACTCTCGGCTTGTTTTCTCGGCCGCAGGGCCAGGCTGATGTGGGCAGTGATCGAGAAAGCTCCGTCTAAGCCCCTCTTAGCCTGCTTTGCCCGCTGATGCGCACTCGCCTTCGCCGCAGCA